TCTGCAAGATTAGGAGTTGGTGTGATGGTCAGGGGGCAAGAGGTGCGGAAGGAGGTCTTCGGGGCAAGGTCTTCGGCGAAGTGTCTTCGGGGAAGTCCCTTAGGGAAAAGTCCTTCGGCGAAGGAGTGAAACTCTCATAACGTTTTCAATATGTGACGCCTTGACTCAGTTAGGGTCTTGTTGGAAAGAGCTCGCGACGCTCGTTCCAACAAGACCAAGAGATCAGAGATCGCATTGGGGAGATCGCTTTCAACTGACATAGACACAGAGATCTTCACGAAAGGATCGCCATCGTGACCAACATGACATTTGAATAATAAGAAATGATGAGTCTTCAGACCGTGATTCTCACCCTCCTACTGCTCGTACTTGGAGCCGCTACACTCAAGTTTTCAAAAAGAACGGGAAGAAGCTTAATCCTCACTCAGGATTTTTGTAACAATGACCCCGTTTTATTCCTCTGTTGAATCCATTTCTCCGGAAGTTTATGAATTGCTGCCGCGAAGCCAAAGAAGCAAGGCGTTCATATTGACCTTCATGATGAGTGAAAGTGGCTAGTTTTCCTGTTTTCGATGATTTTCGCCTGCTTTTCCTGCTTTCGACATTTGAAGTTTTTGTCTAGTTCATACGTGAGATAAATCTACGCCCTCATATTCATTGTGCCTTTTGCTCCTGAAAGATTGCATCATTGAGAAGTTTTAGAGCATTTGCTGTGTTCAGGCAACCGTTGAGCACGGTTGTTCCAGAAGTCTTGAAGAAGGCTGGAATGGATCGCGTCCTCAAGGCATGGGAAACCGGTGATATCAATGAAGACAATGTCCTGAAAATGCAGAAAACTACGAATATTCCTGGTGAGCATTTCCTTAACAATATTAAAGCTTTTATGATTCTTTCACACTTATAGATTAAATGCCAATGGAAAACATTATGAAAATAATGTTCAGAATTTTAGTTTCAAAAAAATGAAAATGATTGATATTAGTGTTTTGCCTATAAAAGGCTTGGGGAGTGGCGGTGCGATGAGCTCTACAATAGTCACCTGGAGAGCTTCATATGACGCCTAGGAAGTATAAAGAGGGTAGTGATAACTTAATCGGTTGACATTCTCGATTTCAGGAATATGGCAGAAAAGTAGCAAGTGTTTCCGAGAGCTGGAAAAACTATCTGTGTCTCATCTGAAGGTACACTCCATTTCATAAGAGATGATTTTCTTGGATGTATATGTTTTACTTTTGTTTCGTCACTCTCAACCGTATTTTTTTCATGGTCTCCTGAACAAGAAGGTTGAACAAGAGGACTGCTTGCTAAGTAGATTATGAAAAGAATATGATTGAAATAAAAAAACAGAACTAAATAATATGCATCCGAAAAAGAGATTTCTTATCAGATTTCTTATCAAATGTAGCACCGACTTCGATTAAGAATATCAAAGTCTCGAGTTAATTGGGAGGAGATTCGGGTCACGGGTGATCCAGAAGGAAGTATCGCGACCTCAAGGCATGGAGAAGAGGTGAGATCAATTAAGACAAAGTTCTAGAGATCAATAAAGAAAAAATCATGATGATGAGGAAATTACGAAATTTCCGGCGACCATTTCTTGAACGTTTCTATTTCCAGAAGCTCGTGTCAATCGCATTCCTTCATATAGATATCTAAGGCTGGTTGTGGAAGCTGTGCAAGCAGGCAGAGTAAAGACTAGCATGGACTAAGCACCGGTTTTTTTATTTGGACCTCAAAACCCCTCTAGATGCGTTGACACCACTCTGGGAAACTTAGAATGGGCTTTGGCTGAGCTAGCCAACTACGTTAATTTCAGGATAGGATTCGAAAAATGAGTGTGATACGACTGCTGGAAGAACACCTGAGCTTACTGCTGTCATCAAGGAATCTATTCGTCTTCACATACCATCCCTTTTGTAGTCAATCGGATGAATCTCGACCAGGCGAAGATACGGGATTATGACATTCCTGACATTTTAAGGACTAAAACTTCATTCAAGTCATGGTGGCTCGCGGACAATGAATAATACTGGGAAACCCCGCAGGAGTGCCATCCCGTCACGATCCTCGACAATATTATCGTGCATACTGGCACTGAATATCGCTATCTCCCTTTTGGTTAAGAGAGAAGGATTCTTCACAGATTCATTTGCCTCATGGCATTTGGTTCTGGGGCGTCTCATTCGGACGTTCAAACTCCAGACTCATCCCGGTCTCACAGAGTTCGACATGACACCTAGTGTAGACTGTTCATTCATATAATCAAGAATAAGTATAAACTGGAGTTAAGACATAGGTCCGACCAGTCAAGATTATAACAAGGAAGATCAATTTCAGGCCGTCAAGTAAATAGCGAAATTCTAAACAAAGGCAGTTGGATATAGAACCCGTTTGTCTATTATGTTCCAAGACTTCGTACTGAGAACTTTTCGTCTGAAAGTAAAATCACAAAAGATGGTTTTATCTAACCAGGAAACCTAGTAATAATTAGATTCGGCAAGAATTCTTGAAACAAGAAGACTTGTCCCTTGATTTAAAGTTAGCAGGATTGGAATATTTTTGTACCTGAACGTGAGAGTAGACCTCACGGCCTTGGTCGGAAATTGTAGCGCTCGATGTAGAGATTCTCAGCCGGTAATTGCTTTGGTTGTAGTTTCAATGCTGAGATCAATCAAGTGTCTGTGGAGAATGAAATAACTGGAAGTGTATGTATGGTGTGCGCAAGAGGCACCTGGATGGTTTTGGTGGGTAACAGTTTTGTATAAATCAAGTTTTGTGGTGTGCACACATAATGTTATCCAGCGTAATCAGGTGTTCGATACTCTGGCTTTGGATCTTTCAGCTCTGAATTTTCGTGAGATGGAGGATCTGTGTTGACAAGATAGATGATCAAACAGTGGACACCCACTTCAAACATGAAGTTCAAAATGCCACGAGGGTGTGCAAAATCTCTACATAAAGAGCAGACTCTGAACCAGAAATACCCTGCTTTCTGAAGCAATGTCTCTCTAGTGTACTTATATAGTTGTAAGGCATTTACATAGCGCATTTAAATGCATGGCTTTCGCTGATTCCTAATTTCCAATGTGTTATTAAAATTGTACTTTGTCCGCAAGCATTCTGATGATTTGCAATCAAATATTAATCAAGAAAACCCTCTTGGATTGCATCCATTCAGACAGGATGTGATCAAAAGACACTACTCATATCAGGTCAAAAATCAGTATTGGTACTCTTGCCGAAGTCTTCGACTCACTAATCCAAACAGGACATTGCGGCACGTTTTATAGCTCTGGACAGTAATAATTACGACTAGTATCCACGAGATAGTTTGTCTCGATCATCTCGAACTACACGTGTTTGTTGGGATTGGCTGAAGGTAGGATTACGAAGTATGACACGGCTCAAATACTTTACTTTTGCATGCATGTACTGTCGAAGTACTGACAACGTTTTGTCTCAATCTTGAAATCCTGGCCTGAGCTAGGCACGGACTATTTATCAAGTGGCAGCGTCAAATTCGTACATGATATCTAACATATATGTAGTTTTCAGCAAGTAAGAGAATCAGTATGTCACGGGTAAGCAAAGAAGAGGACGACAGAAACGTTTAAAATGGTGGCCCTTTTGGTGCACATGGTCTGCTCTTGTAATTATTGTAAAACTTAGAATCGTTCTCAGGTTGACAATTGTAATAAGCAGCAATGAATATTGTGACAAAGTCTGGAGTGACTGGATATAAAGGCCGACGCGTATTCGTGTCACCGGACGGTTCCAAATTACAAGCTGCTCATTCCAAACGAATATGAACTTAATTATGTATAGCACATGTCGAGGAGAGGCCTCTCAGACCCTCAAGTCACTGGGAGGAAGTTACCCTTAAGATATCATCCAGAACAGACTTGTTATTACACGTTAAAGTCAATCGTAAAATTCTTTCTGAAGGCCTCTGTATTTTAGTGTATTTTAGCTTGAGCTGCCTGTTTATCCACTAACTACCAGTAATTGGCTTCTTTAGATTTATGACCAGACGGGTCGTTTTCATCTACAATTCGACATCTGACTCGCAGAAAAGAAGATTCATATGTTAAGAATGAAGTGACCGAGATTCGCTTCGATGAAATGCGTCCGAATCAAGCGGTATGAATCAAATACTCTTTTTATCATATTGGATTCCAAAATGACAAGAAGACAACCACCGTGTGTTTGTTCTATATAGACCGGTCCGGTCGAGGATCCATGGCTGTAAAAGTTCTTGCTCAAAGTCTCACAACCATAGAAGATGGATCAGAGCTCAAAACTTGGAATTCGGACAGTTTAGAAGGGGTCAGGCACTTCTGATTACTCGTCCTGTCGATGGTTTTCCCTTCAGCTTCAGTGGCCATCGCAGATATCCTAATCCAGACGGTTATTGCTGAACTAGAGAGGGAGGAATGCTTCGTTTTTGTAGATCACGTGGTGGAGGGAGGGAGGGGAATTTATGTTTTGGTTACATAAATATGATCAGCTGGATTTGCTCCAAATTGCTCCATCACCACTTGGTGACAGACAAAATGGCAGTAGATTCTACTGCCATTTTGTCTGGCCTGGTGGTAATGGACATGAGTGGTCCTCTGTTTTTAGAAAATCGGGAGTACCCTCGTGAGCGGCGAACTGCAGTTGGACGATCAGCTTGACAGGATTCGCACCACTCGATCCTGTGTCCAACGCCGAAAGTGTGCCTAAGTACTGAATTACAGGATCTGATCCTTAAGAACCTCGAAGTCGAAAGATTAACTATGGCATAAAGTCTCCGCAGAGCTATAGTCGTGCCTGTAGTTGTATTCTCCATTTACTTTTCGTCGTGCTTGTAGTTGTATTCTTTATTTACTTTTCCTCCAAGTCGTAGATAAAGTCTTCCGAACTAGCGCTGTAATCGGCTTAGCAAATTACCAATCACAATCACAACCATCATCCACGTACGGCACGAGGTAGAAGTTTAAAATACCAGATATTTAGCATGATAACTATGGTACACATGGCCGTTTCTTTACTGCCCCACTTAAAAATGCACTCGAATAATAGCAATCACAAGCGGCTTTGATTCTCCTATATCTGAGAGAATTGCTTCAAGTACGAAGTTGGGGATTTCGAACGCGGATGAATGTATTTATTGGCCCAACTTTAACAGCTGTACAACGTTTTGGGCACCTGGCCTGGTGGAGAATTGGTGGAGAGTCGAAGATCATATAATCGGCTTGTCGTTATTTCTGTAGAGCTTCCGCCTCCGTCATGATGAGTCTGTTCTGTGTTACTCTCAGGAGATAATGGCCTTTTCTTGAAAGTCTCCCTGCGCACAATGAATCAGCTGTCAACTGCATCAGAAACTGACGGGACTTTATGCAGCCTTGCGCGAAATAGATTTGCAATTTCTAAAATGCTATGGAACAACTATTAGAAGCATAAGAAAAATACGTATTTCGGAGCTTCTGCCATGTACTCTGTTAACAGTTCGGAATATGTAAACCAAAAGTAAATATCCCCATAAACGAAACACATCCTACAGTCATTAAAAGCTCACTTGTTGCAAGGTTGTTGTATTTTGTCCAAGACTTTTACATGGCTTCCGTATCCTGTTATGTATCGAAGAAGATAGTTAAGTATATGTTTATGTTCAAAGGAATGTTTAGAGAGAGAAATTCTCAGGCCTCACCAAACAGCGAAGATTTCGGCATGTTCAAACTTATTAACAACGGACACGAAATTCTGCAAAACCTCTGGCGAAGCCGAAAGCAGATGAGATGGAAGACTCGCTCTGGCCCAACATTTCCTGCTGGAAGAAATGAGGAGGTAGTCCACTCGACCTTCCTCTATCTCTTGCCGAGTCCAACCTGGCCTTCCCTTCATACATCTCCACAGATCATCGTGAGTTTCTATCTCTTTAAGGGACTTCATATCGAACAATCGTCGAACTCTTATCCGTCGATCAAGATGCTCTTGCTCACCCCTCGCCGCAGATCTGCAATTCGATTGCCACTTATAGAGCCGATCTCTTGTCAACGCGCTATCCATTCCTTCAGGGTAATTTATTTTTGTTTGGGGGCTGATCTTAGTGCACAGACCTTTGTCCTCTGCTCACGGAGATCGGACTTCGAGTCACTTTCCAAGTTCCTTGATATGAAGGTCAGGTGAAGTTGAGAAAGAAGACTCGTACACTCGTGGATGATAGAAATCAAATCCACAGTCAAGGTGGAAAGTCGTTCACTGTCACGAGCAGGTAATGGTCGACAATGCAACCTTTTTTGCCTTGTCCCTCTCAGGAGAGGATTGGACAACACCACTGCAAGCTATAGAGCAGAGAGAGGAGGCTCACATGGAGATTGAAAGAAAACCATCTCCTAATCACGATTTCATCAGAGTTCCCCACAGACAGCAGCATCGATCCGCCTGACTCCGCGACGAGCTTTTGAACCTCGAGCCACATATAGATGCGCAGCGCTTGCACAGCTGCATCGTCAAAACGGTAAGTTTTCTTCAACGGGTAATCCACTTTCGAAATACATTTCACTTTGTTTGCCATGGACCTGCCGTTACATGATTTGTTATATGATGCTCGATATGTTAGTGACCAATTAGACGGGAGATGAGTTTCAGGGAAGAAGATGATGAGAAGGAACACCAAGGAGGAGAGCAAAAAGCAACTGTTTATGACTCCCTCATCAATCGTTGACATGAGGCTAGCCCCAAGAGAATCAGTATGAGATATAAGTCCAATTACATTTATCTTAATTGAAATGGTAAGGAAAAAATTATTAAAAAAATCATGTACTATTATGATTTATCTACTTTATGTATTACTTAGTTTTGTGTAAAGCAATGAAGTACATTGTATAATTTAAATAAAATGGGATTCTTCACGCATAATAGATTTATGCTCTTAAGTATTCTAAAATGACAACGTCAGATTCGAGAACTTTTAGTTACATTAGTTTCTAAGCTCGAAAATGAATTTGTCATGAACATAGAATGACTTATAAAGTTTTTCTTCCATGTATAAAGAGGAATAAAAAAGTCACTCTTTCAATGATTCAAAAAATCATCTCTAGTATATATAAATATGAACAACGATATAACATTCCTGAAAAAATCTGTATATTTTTTTATTCTTGTGGGCTACAGTATATTCCAACTATTTATGTAAAAAATTCATTCTCACTCATATTTAATTGCATATCGATAATTATGTTCTGAATAATAAATATCAAAATTTATAAAACCAAATTCTATTCAAATTTGTTTTGTAACGTGAGCATTGAGATATAGAAAGACGAATCAAATCAAGACGATTTCTCATCGATGTAAGAATCAAAAGGATGCAAATAAAAAAATATCAAGAGGCCAAAATATATTATACAATCAGCCAACTCAATTTATATTTTTAAACTAAATTTTTCTCAATATATAATTTTATAATTTAAACGTTTTCTTAGAATCTACAGGAGAGTCAAAATGCCATGATTATTTTTCACATATTGTAATGTTACAAATTTCAAAACATAAAGATTCAAACATAAGTCTAACCAAACATGGAAACTTTTTAATTTAACATTCTTATGGTTGACAGATTAATACAACAAAATTATGTAAAATTGATTATCAATACAAAATATTTAGCATTTTTGGCGAAAATGATAATTGTAGCAATGCTTAGTAATGTTTTAGCCAAATGTAAATCCAGTTCATGTTATCTTGTTAGCTTACTAAATTCAAGTGTTATTTTAACAAAAGATACACATATGGATAACAATTCAATAAATTGAAATGTTGAATGATTTCTCAAGTGAATGATGTTCATATTGTTTAAAAGGGTTTGCTTTGTAGAACATCGTTTGAAACACTTTGGCATCTTCCTTACATCTAGAAGTGAAATCGAAACCTGAACTGCATCTTAGGCAGCTAGATCTTTTTGTAAAACAAAGCTAAGAGGTCATGGATCACATCTTATAATGATCAATCATGAAACTTCCCTTCATCTTACGATGTCTTGTTGTGACATATCACTTGGTCAATCATCTTTTGTTTCAACCAAGCATCAGTCATACTTATCCACAATAGCAAATCAACACTTTGAACCCTTCAAGAATTTCTGTTGTTGCGTACGAACCAACTCAAACCTTGAACTATAAAACCCAAAAACAGGAGCTTCAAAAGACACTTCATTGTACTTTTGTTGGCTAGAATGCTCATTTATTCACATTATCCTCCTACTTGTTTGTTTGAAGTGAAACTAAATCAAATCAAGCTGTAATCACTTCACTTTTATAGTGAAGTGATTCATTCAACACAACCAAGACTTATAACGTTGTATATTTACGATTTCAACTGTGGACATGACCATATATATATATATATATATATATATATATATCATATTTGAAATAGAAGAGTACATGTTTTGACAGTTGGTTTTCTAAATGGGTTTCACGACATTGATCTACATCTTAAGTTTGCAGGCACCAACTGACGGGATCAGCATATTCAGCACTTGCTGGTCTTCTGAACACCAGAATTCTTTGCCGGTGCAAGACGAAAAATCACCTTACAAAAAACTAATCTGCACACAAAAGCATCGTAAGAATCAGACCATGAAAGATCACAAATCTGGTTGCTTCCCAAAACTGATTATAAATTTGGCGTTAACGAAAATAAATCTTTTAGAGCAAACAGAGTAATGAAGACAAAGTTGCCCAAAAATGAAATAACGGCGATTCAATCTTGCAAAGTTTGATATTTAAGCATAATCAATCCGTTTCTTCCGACGCCACGTTGCTATTTTTACGTCTATGCTACCTCGATACTGCAATGTACTAATCTGTCTCATTGAATCTCACGATTCGATTGGAAAATCCAATCCATATTTCACGTCCTGACTTAGGACAAGATCACCCATCTCCCCACCGTCCTGTTCGTCAGAGTTGTCGCACAGGTCCTGCAATAACCCACGCCTCAAAACTGCGGCAACAAGAAGCATGACATGCTGGGTTATGCTACACTTATTTTACGGGACACTAATTATTATATACACGTCAATTCGGAACATAAAGTTTTTGAGAGTACAGTTGCGATCCAAAAGCCGCCTCGTTTTCGGTTTATCGTGTCCCTGTGATGCTCGTACACGACGTTGAATAACCGAAAGGAATCGGTCCACAATTCGACTAGAGCCCAAAAGAGGAATTCTACGTGCTTTGATGCGCACGGGCACTTTCTATGAACTTTAGCACTCATGACGTCTAGCGTACAGAGGCCAGGCACAAACCTCGTACGCTTTACAGTTCTTTTAGGAGCATTTCATACTTCGCGGCCATGCAGTTCTGCCGACCCGTTAAGGGAGTACTTCCGGTTTGTACGTGGGTTTCATTCTTTAACAGGACCATCTTCGATATATTCTGGACAAATATCTTGAGGCTAGATCAGTGCCCTCTTCTTTTGTCCACAGAACAGCTGAAGGCATCGGAGCTTTCAGCTGGAATTGAGTGCCAGAGATTGCTGGCACTCACTTGAAAGATTCATGGGGAGAAAGGAAGCTTACGTACTCAATCCATTTTCGCACCCTCCCAGAGCCTTTAAACACGAGAGCAACGAGTGATGGTTGACGAGACTGACTCCAAACTTTTCACCCAGAGTTTTCAAAACTGTGAAGACAAGGCCATATAATGTACAGCAAACAGGACATTATCTCTGCATCTTCCGATGTATCCAAATACTAAATGCTTTTCAAGGTGCTCCCTGCAAGCCAGAAATCTGGCATAAGAAGCAAAGATGCCACCTTGGAGCACGCAGACAAACCTAAAGAAATCCAAAGTGTTTGCTCACGGGCTCCGAGCCCGTTGTACATCCAAAAGCACTGTATCCAAAAGAATATCCAAATGTAATGTATGCTTATAATTGTGCAGTTGATATAAAAAAGGAGGGTGGTATTGGTTCTCAGCCTACATGTTCAATATCTGAACCGGATACATTACAGGTTCTGAAAATCAAATCACCTGATCTCATCAGAAAATATGTCGTACAAGCATAAAAGAATACCTCGGTAAATGTATAATCGTGAGCTATTCCGTTAGGGAGCAAAGTAGGTGCTTGTTGGCCTTCTTCTCTGACATGTCACATGCTACCACAGTTGACCTGGATGGAAGCCAGTTTCGCACCACTGGTCAGAAACTCGGGAGGTGGAAAGCCTCCCGAGTTTGTGTATCGAAACTCTATCCTTCGAGTCACGTTTTGTCGAAATTGAAAGATACTTGCTGGCAACACATGTTTTCTATACAGTACAGTGTCTCCACCTAAAACTCCTTTTTTACGTGCAGCGCCTAAGCCTAATGATTGGGCACACGTTAAACTTTCTAAACAGCTGCGCACGTTGACATATAGGATGTGGCGAAATGAAGCGGAGATGGTGCTCGATATTATTTGACTTCGATGCTGATGGATTGTTGGAGGTGTTACTAGCTGACTGCCGTGCCCGGCTGCTTGACTGCCTGCCTGATTTCCTGCCCGTCCGTCTCTTCAGCTCCTGTTGATGCCGTGTGGCGTGAGGACAATGGGTAGACAGTGAATTGAGGTACAAATTTCGGATCACCCTGTCATTTTTTGTTTGGCCTCGTTCATACCAAGTCAACAGTTTCTCATCATCCTAAACTCCCGAAGTCTCCCAGATGTTCGTACACTTTCCTTCAAGTTTCTCCACAAGCAGAAACTGTAGAGATCAATGGATTACGAAAGTGACGGAATACGAAAGTGGTATAAACATTAAAAACAGAGGGAGTGATGTACGACGTCTTCGAGCTCAGAGAGACTGCGTGCCCTCCCCTTGAAAACATTTGCTTGCTACAAGCAACAATCACATATTGAGCCTCGAAGCCAGAGAGTCCAAAAGCTGGCAATCATGATTATTCCCTTAATGCGTGGCTGGCTGGCTGGCTGGCTGGCTGGCTGGCTGGCTGGCTGTGACATACTGATCCACAGTGAGATATTAAGTCCACGGCCACCAGACTGCTCACACAACGGCAGTCGTCGATCGAGAAGCTAGACTGCACACTCAGTGTGCATCCATCAGATGATCGAACTCTCTCGGGCGTATAGTGGCATGAGCGCGTGTCCTTTTCCCTGATAAATATTCGTGACTTGAACAGACCGCACAGCAACAAAGTATAGAAGAAACCAAAAACCTACAGCAAGCGACTTATTGGAGACTTTTGTCGTCCTTCGTTCTTCGTGCTGACTGATGACCTGAGACATATCTGATTGCGTGCGTTACGTGAGGAGCGGGCAAGCAGGAAGCAGATGGTCGATCGTTTAGCGTAGGTGAGGGCAAGGAGAAAGGCAACCGACTGCAAGCAAGCACTGGAGTAAGTCCAAGTCTGAGTCCCGGCCAGACACGGCCTGGGCTGGCCTGCTCTCCTCCTCTGCTCTGAGGAAGGGTCGAAGCGTGTTTGTGTGCCTCTGGCCAAGATTCGGTTTTCAAGGTGCACATAGAGGAGACGTATAAAAAAGCAGTGGAGAGTGATTTTTCTGTGGTATTATTCTGCCTCGTGGAATAACTACACGTTGGCCTGACTCGTGCCCTCTGTTCCTTCGATTATCAAGGGGGTTAACTACTTGGACAGATTATTCTTCTTTGACCTCCTTTTCTTGCCCCGGCCTCTCCCGGAGTCCTTGGCCTAGACCTGTCCCCTCGATGTGCCCGCTCGCCTCTCGCCTCTCCCTCCGGACAACACCAAAGGAATTTGGATTCGCAAGCTAAGACTTTCTTCCCCGATGTTGTGCAGGTTGCGTCTTGAGGCTGAACTGTCGAGGCCGCAGGCCACGTACCCTTGCCAGGGACTCGACTCTGCTACTGGATCGTGAAGAATATGTCGACTGTACATTCATCAGAGGGATGAATCAGACTGCTTTCCAACTGCTCTCGTCGCTCAGTCCCGTCCCCTTCCTTCGTTCCTTCTTCCGTCCCTGCCTCGCCCCCAGCCCCCAGCTTACTGGTGCTCGGATATTTCGGAATTCTGCTCCAGCCTTTCCGGGGCACAGATACACTATAATACTAGTCATACTAGTAATACTAGGAGACCCTATTGACCAAATGATGGGTCGACTCTCTAGAGCTTGCGCTTGGCAGGCAGTTCGCCACACCAGAGATTCGTCCCAGCGTCTGCCAAACCTTCAATCACTGGACCGACCAGCCATTGGCACTCAGATCGTCTGTCTGCATGGGCTGCTGCCGCTGCATCGAGCGAGCGAGCAGGGAGAGAGGGGAAGCGTCTTCGGACCTCCATTAGAAAGTGACTTGGGTGCATTTTCGAAAAGATTGGGTGCATGATTGATCAGTAGTCAGTCAGTCGGTCGGTCGGCCGGTCGGTGAGTGAGTGAGTGAGTGAGTGAGTGAGTGAGTGAGTGAGCGAGCGAGCGAGTCAGTGAGCGAGGGAGTGAGTCAGTTGGTCACTTGCTTACTCGAGTGAAGCGATTGACTGTATCAGACAAGTGGTACGTGCCGAACGGACATGTGATTGGCTTCAACGACGAGGAATCTTCACAACAGTTGGTCAATATGAGCTTGTAGACTCGTTCGGATTTATCGGGTACACATCCCATCCCATCTCATCTCGTTCAGTATCTGCTCCGAGCTCTGAGGACACGTAGTTCTGGAGTAGCATGACAAGGCGTTCTTATCCCTACCCGAACTCTAAGCACGCCTACGTATCACAGAATATCGTCCAAGTCCACGAGCATCACAACACCTCCCGTGACGTGCATTACCTCCAAGAAGCCGTGGGAGTTTTCTTTCTGGGGCTTGGCTCAGCTGAGCCGGGCTTCTATGCCATCCAATATTATAGAACGACTCTTGCTTTGCTTTGCTTTGCTTTGGACTGCAACTAGCATCCCCACCGCCAGGGTAACGGAAGCAGGAGGACATTGTGCAGCTAGCTGCACATGAATGATTCGAGCCCGAGACACGCCAACGCTGAGCTGAGATGAGCTAGATCGAACTGATGGCAGTCGCAGCTTGTGTTGTAAACCATCCCCCGCTTCATGGGACAGGAGCAGTCACGAGCAAAAGCTATGCTGGCTTGCCCAAGCAAGCAACCGAGCTGAGCCTCCCACTGCAATTTGGCCGACAGCTATCTCCCGCTCACCCTCCCTTCTTTTTATTATCAATTTGATCGCACAGTGCACAAACGTCGTAACAAGCAACGATTCTGAACAGTCGAGGCAAAAGAGCGAGATGCTCTGCAACAGAAAATCCATATATAATGATTGCAGAGAATTTGTTGCCCGAGAAAAGGATAACAGCCGCCTCATGCTGACGCCATCGCTCGGGGGCCCTCCGCGGTCCTAGGCCTGCGCCGGTGACGCAGTGTTGTGAATTTGTGACAGCGCATTTCCCAGAACAGAGAGAGAAAGAGAGAAAGAGAGTGGAAGACGCTCGACGCAGAAGGACGTGAAACTTGGTGAGGTCCTGCATACACCTGCCTGGATTCCAGCAGCTAGCTCTCGAAGATTATATGCATAGAGAATGTGAGACGCGGTCCGTCCGGCGTCCCATCCATCCATTCAGATCCGGATCCGTCCATACAACGATTGGAGACATGCATCGAGGAGGTTCATGCAACAAGATTTTTTCGCCCCGGTTGACGCGCACCGTACGAGTACGAAATGCGAAATGCAGCCTAAACTTTCGACGCTCGCAGGAACCCTGTGATGACAAAAGTGCGAGAAATCATCGCCCGCGTAGATGAGCGGCCAGAGCATGACGTCGAGATGACGCGGATTCGGATGCTTTCATCGAATCTGGAAAGAAGAAAAGGTTCCGCTCCTCGCCGGACTGCAATCGTCCGAACTCATGGACTTTGTTCGCACGTGACGTACTTCTGCTACGATACGCGGAGCGGACCAGATCGATTCCTGTGGATGCATCGTCAGATTCTCAGCTGCCGATGTGCGATCCCTGCGCCTTTCCACCGTTCGATGAGCAAAAGCTCCTCTTCCATGACGCGAATTCGACCTCGAGCCTCTGGATGCCCTTCGAGTTCCATGGATTTACACAGCCCCTCCTCCTCCGGTGGACGACCGACCCCACGCTCAACTTGGACACGAGTTTCATCTCTCTGACGACCATCCATCGTTCCCAGTCAAGTGAATCAAACAAGATACGCGCTCTAGGCTCTCAGTTCTCAGATTTCCATAATCCATTAAAAAGCATCTCGGCCCCTGTACAGAGAGAAAGAATGGGATGGGGGTAGGGGGTTGTTGGGGCGAGGGAGAAGAACAAATTTAAGTTCGGTTTTGTTTTGTGAAGGCGGTTTGCTGCGACTGATCTCGCTTTGCTGAATGACGTGGAGACTGTGAGCCGATCGATGTGAGCGTAGACTCTGATGCTATTCTGGATCTCAGAGGCAGGCTGCCTGTCCTGTCCTGGCCATGTGCATGTTGCATAGACGGAGCTCAGAGCCAAGCAAGTGCGTTGGTGATAATATCCGTGTGCTCGACAAATCAAACGCAAATGGATCGGATAACAAAAGGAGGAGCGATTTAGACAAGTGTTTTTGGATTCATCGCGAGGAAAGTTGATCATTCATGATGCGCTTCAGTGCGAGAGAAAAAAACAGGACAAAAAATCGCTGGCCCGTAATAGAAAGCTAATTCAGAGTAGGTGGAAAAAGCTCTTTCGTGCTCGTGGTCGAAGCCGGTCGATGTCGTCGAATTCAATTGACTCGAGTCGAGCCCATGACGAGATCAACGACGACCGAGCCAGTGGCCCTGATCAGGACGAGTGTAGAGCTGGGCGGAAGGGACGGACGAAGGCAAGAAACGCTGCGAAAGATGCGGATTATGCAGCAGCCAGAAACCGGTCCCCGTGTTGAAAGATCACGATCTGCTCTGTGATGGGGGATGCTCATGCTTGAAGCCGACTGACTCACGTAATAGAACGCTTGATGAAGGTGATGATGACGATAATGATGATGCTGGTGGAGGAAGAGGACGAGGCCGAGGACGAGAGCAATGTTCAGGGGTCATGGAAAGGCAGGGCAGGCCAGAGGTTGTTATAGGCGTGAGCTGAGATGAAGGTAATCGAATCTCTTCGCGGTAGCTGAGCAAAGTCTAATGCGAAGATGACGTTTCGAAGTTCCATGTGTAGCAAAAACCACAAAACGCTGACTTTAGGAAGATTGTGGGGTAGAAAGATAAGGGATGTGACTGATTGGACGCCAGAGAACTTCGAGCATGTGATAATCGGAAAGGTGCCCAGGTCCGATTCAAATTCCGCAGTGGGACCGGCCGGACCGCCACCTCGAGACTGGTCCACTCATGAAGGGCCATTCTTCTCCTCCCCTTGCTCCACCTCTTGCTCCTTCTGCTTCTTGTGTTTGAGGTGTCCATGGCTAAGAAGCCCCACCTTCCAAAAGCTTGTACATAACCCTTGACCTCCAACGCCGTTCAATGGTTGCCTGCTTATCATAGCAAGTCTCGTCGTCTGCTTGGCGGGCCACATTGACCTCTAGACTGTGCATCAGCAATATTTTATGACTCCTAGGGCCTCGCCGTGCATGGGGCAAACGGATAAGGTATTTCGCAAGTATATGCCACAGTTTTGGGCCTCAATTTCCATACTGTAGAGCTGCATGAGCACCTTGGCCATGTGCCACACTCTCTATCTGTAGCCATCGTACGTAAACCAAAGCGCCATGCTCGTGTCACAACTGAATAACCAAGGCCAGCGGATCCTTGCAACAATAAATCCCTGGACAGCTACCGTTGCCCCAGCAGTTACTGTGGTACATTTCGAGTCTCTCAGCTCCAAGAGGAGGAGCAGGAGGAGGAGGAGGAGGTTGTTAGTTTGTCATGATCAGCAGGTGTCTCGCGTTTATGCATCCCCTCTACCAAAGTCTTTCGATTTGTTAGAGAAAACTGAAAACCACCACCGCCACCATCTCCTCCAGGACCTCCTCTTCCTCCTCCTTCTCCTCGATAGACCCACTTGTTTACCTCATCTGAACCGGATCTAGTTCTAGCTAATCCCAAGTTTGTTACGGAGAATCCTTTTTGTTCGGTGACGATCATCACTCTCGGGAATCTGTAACTTCTCACCTACACTTCGAGAGGGCGGCTCTTATCATCGAAATGCCATCTTTCACGTGCACAAGGACGCATCAGGTTTTGGATCTTATGCTAGTTGTATCATTTCTTTTGACTAGCTCGTAACCGATTCTTAGGACGAGATGCAGATTATACCTCCACTCGGTTTGGCTCCTGGCAATTGGAATTAACAACAGCATGACGCGTACTCGGATGAACCTCAAATTTCATGTTGACAATTCTGCGCGCTCACGACTGTCAGGTTATATTCTCATCATCGGAAGTCTGTCACAATTGTAATCAGTAACTCTCGAAGTCACGCTTTGCGTGCATTATAAGAGGTTCTTCATTACGGGCGGGCGGACTTTGTTCACCATCGTGACGCATGCGAGAATAAATTTCATCGAGTTCGGGCTTTTCAGCACACCCTGTAGGTATTCATTCACAAGATTACTACAATCGTCAATTCCCCACATGAAGCTGAATTGTAAAATTCCCCACATTAAAACCGATCTCGACAGCTCATAAGCCCTATAGAGAGATTCAATGCAGACATCGTCGAGAGGTCTGTCGACCATTGGTCAACATCCCATAAATCTCTGTATAAGAGCGGATCTTCAATAATCAGTTAGACAAAGATTTATAGACGGAGAGATGCTGCCCCTCATCGAAATGTGTTCACCATCGGTGGCCACTACCTTCTGCGGATGCCTTTTGCCTGCATTTGCCAGTACAAGTTTGAGCATAACAAAGACCTTGTACAGGGAGTTCGAAATAACATAGAAGTGTGTTTTACGTTTGTAAAACAGTTTCTGCAGTCAATGACCTTACTATGTTCCGAACACTTGTCCATGTAATCCATGACGAGCGTCATCTGACTGCTCAGGAGTTCTGGGCTCCATACATACAACTTTACCAGCTGATTTAGATTCCCTTGCACTCGATTGAAAACCATGTCAGGAGGGCTCAAACATCAAAAAATTCTCTCAGAACCAGTAGCCAGCACTTAAAGACCTTGTGCCCGTTTCAGAAATGAGTTTCAGCTTTCACTTTTCTGAGATTCCTGAAATACAAATATCTGAGATAAATATGAACCTGTGTACCTGTCAATGAACTTCTCTAAATTTCAATATAGAGTTAACCCAAATAATCTGAGACCTCCAGTACCTTATCATGAGTACATGTCAAGACTAAGCGAACCTTATCTCCATTCAGTCATGTAATCTTATGAAGGATCAAGTCCGTAACAACGATTTGTTTCATATTGAACAAAGATAGTAAGACTCTGAGCATCAGGTTGTGACACATGTCTCAGGTATTCTTAACACAAATGACAGTGGCATACCTTGCAGTCACCTTTGCGCAAGCCTGGCTCGACAAACCCTTTTTGTTCCAGCACCGTGATGCCATAGCTCTGGAATTTTGGTTCAGAAATGCATTCAGCTCATATCATCAAGCAGTTCGAAAGATGTCAGTTTTCTTCTTTCTAGCTTTCGAATTTATTTTTTTTCAATTAAATTCTAGGAATAAACTGACAAGGCGTCTCAATCCTGGCAGTCATGGTTCCCGGTGTAGCAAGCAATCAAAATAAGATTGCTTGCTACACTAGGCACATTGCGTCATGGTTCAGAGTCCTTTGATAATTTTTGTCCTTCAAACAAAGTAATGATAAGGATTTTATCCTTCATTTGATCACGGGTATGGGCAAACTATGTTCCGCTTACAGACTGCACGAAAGAAGTACGGAAGATTCTTAGCTTATTAAAATAAATATGTATATTTATATATAATTCTATCTGATGTACACAAGTTTGATAGATCGGAGTTAAATATAAAGAAATTGCTGCCAAAACAAAGTAAAGTAGAAGACAAAAGCACATGAAGCATGAATGAGGGCAATACACGTTGAAAACAAAGCATTTACGTTTTCATATCTTCAGGTGTTTATGTGCCTTCTCGATGTAGTGGATGTCTCTTTTTCTCAATCATTGTGGTTACAAGTCACCGTCTACACGTGTAAATTTCAGCTCTTCATATATGCAAAAATATTTTTAGAATGATGGGTAAAACACCCGATAAAAGGTCCAAGCCCACCTCGACCACCATTTCCGCGTTTGTAAGCTGTAAAACGAGGCATTTTACTGTTGATAAATTAATTTACGACTGATAAATTAAAAGGTTTTTGAATTTATTGCTCGGTATTTTGTTGCAGAAACTTTTAAAGCGAGTTATTTAGAGAATGCAAACAATAAGAAGGGGCTCCCAAGTAGATCCATATATAAAGTTACGGCAATAGATTATTTCCCAGGAAACTCACTTCTCACTTCATTAAAAGTTTGGCGGAAATTTATTTGTACCAAACAATCCTGTCGATGTAGTTCCACTAACATCTGTGAAGAGAACCCTTCAACATGGGGGTAAAAAATTAATTTCGCGAAACTGAAAGAATCAATAGAAGTTTGCTTTAACCCTAAACTTATTTTTACTCAACTTCTTCCATAATTCTTAACGCTGTTACAGGACTGCCATGAAGGATTACGGGTGTACTGAAAAATCCCCCAATACACACACAGGAGCCATGTGAACACTCAAGACAACAATATACAGCTCTGATTTAGATACGAATATATAATACAGTTGGAATATAAACCAGGAATTAATAGAAGGGGTGCATGCGCTAAGCTAGTTTTATCCCATTAGGGGTCACGTTCATTTGCCTTTGACTTGGCTTGGGGTTACATACGTGGCACATGACTTTTTCTACGCATCATTGAGGATTCACGCTTTCTAACCCAAAGATGATTCCAAAAATTTGTCAAGCGCGTATTACCTTATCTAAAAAAACTTTCTTTTTGTTCCCATCACATTCATAGATCATATTTTTCACTTTGACCGTGAAATTTTGCTATTTTGCGATAAGGAATCTTAAGTGATGATGATAGAGACAACCTCTATTCTCAACTTCTCAACCGTTAAAAGTGCAAGTCACATTTTTAAAACTTTATTTCTGTCGTGCCAGATGACTATCTATTCCCATATGTGAGATTCTCATTTGTGTCCGAGAATATGAGGAAAGAGATTGAGATGATGATCTGACTTCACCTTAAGAGTTGAAATCTAAGCAACCAGTAAAAGCTTCTCTCACAGTCATTCAGATTTTCTTCTACATAACTGATACAAAACAGACAGATTTGAATAGAATCAAAAAAACACTCTAATAATTTATCACAACCAGTACGAATTAAATAAGCCCAAATTTTTCTGCAAATTATAAAGTAATATTTCACCGATTAAAGAAAAATTCGATTTATTTGTGAAAATTCGATTATCTGAATTATATACCAACCATTTGTTATAAAATCTTGCCAATTTTTTAAGAAGATAGAAATCGTCTCAAACTTAAATTGTGTATTTTTGTTTTAGTTTTACGAGTTATATCCACACACAAAAAATTAACCGATTATATAATTTCAAATATTTTTGGAGAGCGATATTTTTATAATTAAGGAATCATTATTTAATTTTTCAATTTTGATAATAATTTATATTGCAAATTATGAAATTTTGTAAAGTACTTCTTACTTCTAAAACTTTTATTATATGTAAATAAAAATATGGCTTAATGAAAAATAATATTATCTAACTACACTGAATGTAATCAAAATATCAAAGATTGCATGATATTTTTTATCAAAGAGAGGGATGTTTATACTTTTCAAGTCACGGCGTAAACTGATTATTAAGAAAAAATATTCATATATTGTGAGCAATCCATTTGAAATGTAATTACACACAAACTACATTAAAAAAAATCATTTTTCATGTGTAACATAACTATTTTAATTCTCTAATGTCAACATGCTTAATCGAATCATAGTCATCATATCAAAAATTATATAAAATCAAACCAAATTCATTTTTTGAGTTTTCAAAACTTCAAAGGATTGCATTTTGTATCATTCACTATGGCCACAACATGACATGCTCAAATACAACAACTAAACTCAACATGTATATAAATTAAAACTTTTTATATACGCATTATGGTTTTGTAACACAAGATATGATGTAATGCAATTAATGCTTATTGTTGTGTTTCCATTACAACTTATCTATATGCATTAAAACTAGAAGAAAGTTGCATTGCATTATGATTCATTCTACTCGCATGCTATAATTTGACAATATACATATCAACCTGACACACATGCTCAAATCATAAAATAATTTTATTAGATATTCACCTGATTTTCAAACTAAACTATTCTATCTATTTATAATCAACTGCAATTCTAAATTTGATTTCCATGTGATGAAGAAGAAATATTACAAGTTTTAAATATCTTATAATTGCACAAGATTTAAATTATTAGAAAATTTTATAAAGGAGTAATATATTTGCATGTCCCATAATATTATAAAAATAAAAATTTATTTAGATCAATAATTTATGAT